AGGCTCTTGCAGCTCTTGTAGCGCCACATGATCACCTTGTTGCTGTTGCTGTTGCTGTAGCTGGCCGTCAGTCGTCCATTCCGATCGTCCGATCGTGTTCTGGCTTTCGCTGGGTGTGTGTGGGAAGCGCGTCAACATGATCTTCCAGCCGCCACCTTCCATCCACAATTGGCTGCAATTGCACTCCTGCCGTGCGCTGGCTGTGCCCAACTGCTCCGCAACAGATATTTGATTTGTTTCTTGCATTGGCAGCGAGTATGATCATGTTGCGATCTCCTCCGCCATCTGATGGACTCGTGTATGCAAGTAATTCAATATGTAAATTGCAAAATAATCAAAAATTAGACACGCTCTTGTATGTGGGCCAAAGAAAGGGTTTATCGAAGAAATGAAGGAAGCTGCGTGGAGCAATTGCTGCGAAGAATATATTTTGGATCAAGTGGAGAGAAGAGGTGACCGGAAGGGAGTAAAGCTAAGCTAAGCTGTAAGAGGTTATGTAGAGCGCGGCTTGTGAGTGCAGAAACTCTGAAAAACTAGGAGAAGCATAGAGTGATTCTGTGCGGTGGTAAGAAACCAGCGAGCTACTCTATAAGGATTTGTTAGTTCGCTAATATTAAGTTCACAATAAAATAGAACAATAATGCATTCAAAACTCTAAAGTCCATAATTATATATAGATAATTATGATATATTTAGGATATAAATATTATTGAATATATAATTATATTCAGATACGCAGTTTAATAAAGCAAGGATAACTCAGGTGAACCGTTCTTATAAAAGAAGCAGTCCTAGGGCATCTAATTGAATGTTAACGACCCCAATTCCACTTGGACCACAGCTTTTCAGATACACCTATATAAATTCCATAAAGTTCTTGGTTGCATATATTTAAGTCAAGTAGTTAAGAAGAAAATTAAAGTGGATGCCAAGCACTGGAAGATGACCTATCCCCAGCACAATGACCCCAAATGGGCTACAGTCCATTGCCCTTCATTTGACCCACATATCACACCTCAGAAACACTTAAGTATAAGCCACTTGCTGTGGCCAGCGAGTGCTCAACAAGTCGTGCAACAAAGGGCAACAGCAGCTACTGTGATTGCGCCACACATTCCTGGGGCAACTCGGCTTTGCATCATCTGCAGCTCATCTCATCTCACTCTCGGCCTGCTCCTCCTCTATTTATTATTAGCTGCTGCTTTGCTCGTCGAGCCGTGGCCAATCTGCAAAATCAAATGCCAAAAATAATGCAATAAAAATTTCTTGCGAAATATTTCGTACCACTTGTGCAGAAGACAACGCAATTTTTATTGCCGGCCAACCCCTCGACAAGGACTTTTTGCCGTTTCCTTTGCATTGCCATTTTTTTCGTTTGTTTCACTTCAACTTTTTTATCCTTAAAGTAAGCATTTCCGCTGTATTCCTTTTTGGTACTCAAAAGGCAATTGGCTCGTCGAGCTGCCGCCTTTCCGGCTGCTTAATTTAATGGCCCTGCTGATTTCTTAGCCACGGCTTTAACTTCTGTTCGCTGCTGGGCTTTCCGACCTGGGTCAAGCCGTTAATAAGCCAACGACCGAGTCCGCCTGCAACAGCTTTAATTGATTTTCAGCCGCTATTATAAAAATAAAATATAAAAAACAAAATAATAAAAAGGAAATGAAAACAGAAATCAACAATAAATTCGAGTAGCCCTTGGTCGCTAACCCTTTGCTCACCCCTTTTTTGAGCGCGGGCTTCCATTCGACACCCTTGTACACAGTTTTTATGTACATATTTAACCATTGTTGTTGTTACTGTTGTTGTTGTTGCTGCTGCTGTTGGCGCAGCTGAAACTGACCTTTACCGCCGACCCGTTGCCCATTCATTTGTTCGTGCGGTCAGTCGGACGGCGGTTGTCGCCCTCGTCGCAGTCACTCGCAGTCATCCGTCTCATTCCCATTCCCATTCCCATTCTCATTGCTATACTCGTTCTCGTTCTCGTTCTCATTCTCGTTCTCGTTCTCATTCTCATTCTCAATTTGCAGTCGTCATGGACATTGAGTGACCTTTGCTTGTCAACCGTAAACCCCTCCCTGTTTACCTCCCCTCCCACAATTTTTCTCTCTCTCTCTCTCACTCTCTCGCTTACTTTAATCCCATTTCGTGCCGTGGGTCAATTCCTGATTAAGTTGTAATTTGTAGCGCTAATTATTTCATAACTTCTGTAAGGGTGTCAAGTGTTAAAGGGCACAGGCAAGTTCCTTAAAGGCTTCGACAGAGTTGACTTGATGGAATTATTAAATGTCATTTGAGGCAGATATACGTCCCTGTTCCATGCTCTACCTCTAATCGAATCATTCATTGAATAGTTTAATAGAGTCGATTGACTTTATATATATCTTAGTTTAGCAAAAGTATTTCGGACTTGAGCTATGGCTTCTAGGCCTGCAAGGATCGACTGTTGTTGAGTAACCTTGACAGTTGAGTCAAACACAAATGTTTTGCATAAATTAGTCTGTTACTCAACTTGGCCTACGCATTTCTAACCCGACACATTCCAGACAAATTCTATCTACGAGTCTCGCTCAATTTCCAATCTTACAAGGTCAATTTGTTTTTGTAGCATTGCGAATAAAGTGTAGCGCTAAGCGTGGCCCCAAACATCCATGGAAAAAGGCCACATTAAAGTGCCACAGGTGGGTCAGCGCAGGGGCTAAGGGGGGCTAACTGGTGACTCTCTGCTCCAGTCGCATGTCTGCCATGCAGCCACAATTTGCACGAAACGTGCAGCGGACGTCTGCAAAGCGATTACAGCGTATAATGCTGCCTGATCTAAATGCTGCGACCTCCACAGAGTGTGTAAGAGAGGTAGAGGAAGACACAAAGAGAGAGAGAGAGGGAGGTCTGGCAACACATGCCCAGACACAACTGGCCAGATCATTGGGTTCAGGGTGCGAGTACCCGCTGAATGTGTGCCATATGTCCGTTTGTATTTGTGTCCGCACCTCAATCTCATTCTTTGTGTGTATCTGTATCTGCATCTGTATCAGAATCTGCAGCTTCATCCACATTGCAATTGCACTTGATTATGCCTATGAACAGACTCGCAAATTTTTAATAACTCGTGAAAACACACGGAACGTGACAAACGTGGAATTTAGTGCATGCGGCCAGGCACGGAATATGCGTGAAGCCCGCAAAAAAGAAGAGATGAGCTTCAACAAAAGATCTTAATGTTGAAGCTAAGAGCAGAAGAATTTTGATAGCTCCACATAAGCGCATGCTGTTTGTCCTAATGATGGCACGATTAGTCATGTGATACCTAATAATCGATTTTTCTGTTTCCATTGTATCGCAAAATAAGTTGCAATTAATTTAAACTCTGATCGAGCAATGTTTTGGACGTTTGAACGTTTTTGCTTGATTTCTGTTCATTTACTCCCAGTTAAAGCTCCTTTCAATTCGTCTACTCAAAGTCAGCCAAGATTCTTACAGAATGTTTTACATGTTGCGGCTAGCTCATTTACATCTGACTGCTGCACGTTTCGGCAACATGCAGGACTACACCCACCCAGCGCAAACACACCCACACTCTGCCCACACACACACACACACACACCCACAACAACAACAAGATAAATGACAGCAATTGACTTCATTAGCAGTAAATGTCAAATGCTCCACGCGATGCTGTTGCCGCTGTCGTTGCCTATGTGAGCCTCGTGTTATGTGTGTTTAGAACAACAAATAAAACACGACCCGAACAGCCCCGCAGCACGCCCCTGGGCAGCTGAGCAACCCCTCGCAATAAATAAGATGGGAGCAGGGAAAGAAATCCGTATTGCGCAATTTCTTCTTGTGGAAAAATTTGCATACGCATTTTGCTTGCATCGTTTGGCAGGCAGTGGAAGATGGGTTGGGGGATTGAGGAGGTGGCTGGGATGGGGAACTGGATGCTGGCAAAGTGGTCGCAGTGACTCCATTACGAGTACGGCGTCGATACACACTTACACACACAATGAAACCATCAAAATCCAATGAAATAAAATAAAATTCCAATAAAAACATTTTGGCAAAAGGCAAGGACCAAGTGATAAAGGGGGAGACATTTCCTTCCTCCTTGTCGACATGCGGTGAAAGTGTGCGAAAATATTTGCAACTGTGTGTGTGTGTGTGTGTGTGTTGGTGTGTGAGCAGCCAACCAAAAGCTGTGCACACACCCAGCACCCTCATCGACTGGGAAACTGTCCCTTTTCTTTTTTGGCAGACGTGTGCCTCGGATTTGCGAATTTTTTCGCAATGTCGTGGAAAAGCCAGTGGAAAAACAGTTTTTCCTTGGCATTGGTGTTTGCGCTTGAACCTTGTTAGTGGTTTCTGCCAGGCGAATTGCTAAACTGTCAAATGCGTGAAATGTCAACATGTCAGGGCAACAAAGGAAGCCACTGAAGTGCGGGGCCAATGCTGCAGGCGAGGGAGAGAGTAAGGACCTCTGATTGGACAGTAAGGTAATTGATACTGTTGGAATATTTAAATATTTATTATATTTAAATATTTAACTCAAAGAGTTTACCAAATAAACAAGGCACTTGCTTTACTTTAGCTAAAAAATAAAAAAATAAAAATTGCTATATACATACATATATAAATTTAGAGCTCTTAGTATTTGAATATTTACTCCACGTCTCACCTGTCCGATTCAGGTAAACGAACTAAAATTGGAAGTAAGCGCTGTCAGCACCAAGGAAACCTGGGGAGTCGCAAACAATTCAATCAGAGTACATATATAATTATAATTAGCTGCCAGTTGGCTGGCAATAGCTGAGTGAATTAATCCATTTGCTACGCCTGCTGGCCGCAATTACCTGACAATTATCTAGACCTGAAGATCGCGTCAAGTGCTGGTTGACAGCATCCGCGTTTGCTCAAGCCATTCCGTTCTAGATTGGCATTCCCTAAGCCGCAAATCCCGTTTGTGCGGCACCTACGCATTTGCGGGCCGAGCTATAAAAGCGTTCGGTTAATTGGCCAAAAGCATCAGTCGCTGACAAAGCAACCAACAAACCAACCAACCAAACAATCAACATGCAAGTAAGTACTGACTCGACAGTTGCTCCAGATTTGTTTGCTTAACTTTTCATTCTTTTCACTCTGGTGCAGTTCCTCATCTGCTTGGCTCTCTGCGTGGCTGTGGCTCAGGCCGGCTACCTGGCTTCACCCGTCGCCACTTACGCTGCTGCTCCAGTTGCCACCTATGCTGCAGCTGCTCCCGTTACGACCTACACCGCGGCGGCTCCTCTGACCACCTATGCCCGCACCTACTCCGCTGCTGCTCCCTTGACTACCTACACCCGAGCTGTTGCTCCTGTGACCACCTACTCCGCCGCTGTGCCCGCTGCCTACTCCGCTTACTCTGCCTCCGTCTATGGCGCTCCCGTCTACACTGCGCCAGTGGCCACCTATGCTGCTCCAGCCGTCGTTAGCACCTTGCTGAAGAAGAAGTAAATGCTAGACTTTCCGTTTCCCCCGTAAACTGATCCGACTTTAAATATATTTAACAAAATAATAATAAAACAAAGATTTTTTATATAATTTGTAGTCTATAAAATTCCATTTTTTAGTTCAACTTGCTTCTTCTATATTTTTTCGATGTAATTTGCCTGAATAATTTACTTATTTAATTTAATTTTTTAATTTCAAGAGCTAAGAAACTAGATACAGTGGTAGCTCTACGAACAAACAATATCACTTAATATATCATATTATTATATTGAAAAATTTTTAACAACAAGCTGCTGCAGAAACTATGTATGAGCATTTAATATTGGGCAGTTATAAAAAAAACTGTCAAAGCAAATTTTAATTTCTTTGAAGTTTATATACAAATCAGATTCACCTTCGTGTGCCTATTAGATAAGTCTAAAGATTGCATCTTTACATACGACTGCATTTAAAGAGTTTTAATATCCATAGCTCTTGAACAACTAATGAGAAATAGACTTTTATTGGATTCTATACTTAAAAGTAGTAAACCTATTATTGGGTCATATACCCAATATTTATTACTTCAGGAAATTATTTGTCTAAATACCCGATTGTCCACATTCAAAAGTCTCCACTGTACTGTACGTTCTGGGTTGGAGTTCCACGGCGCGTGGGCGTCACATGGCCAATCACACGGATTAATTGCCTGGCGATAAGAAATGTTTTGGAAACTAACAGCAACAGTAACAGCAGCAGCAGCAGCAGCATTCACAGTCAGTCAGCTTCCAGCTTCCAGCTCCCAGGTGCTAGTTGCCAGCTCTGGAGTGTGGCCTCCTCTTTTGGGGAGCTGGCGAACGCGCGTGCTCAAATAAATCATTTGGCAGACACGGCGCAGGCAGCCGGAGGGAGAGAGAGACTCCTCGGTTGGCCTGCGCCCAATCCATGGCGATCGCATTTCAAGTGCAAAAGTGCCGCAAGTGGCAAACCATCAAACCAAAAGGTGACTGCCACAACAATTGTGGGTGTAACGAATTCGCCGTCAAATCGCCAACAAATCGCAAACGAAAAGCGAACGCACAGAGTCAGAACCAGAATCTCAGCTCGAACTCAAACCAAATTCAAACAAATCCCAGCTTAGCAATCATATGAGCTTCTCACACAGCCAAAGTGAAAGCCAATAGCCACTCAAAGCGGGCGAGCGGGGTGCAGAGTTGCCAGGTATTACAATTTAGACACCGGAAAACAATGAAATTGACAGCGCCTGAGCTTTGGGCGATCATCTGCGCAGCCATTTAGTGGATATTTGTTGAGAATTCTTTGCGGCACTGTCTTGTTATCAATCTTGAAGTGGGCAGAGTTACAGCAACAGGGTTGCCAAGGTGCCCAAACATGAAAATAATTGAACATAGGTCAGCTGAATTTGGATAGATAGGAAGAGTAGATAAAAGCTAGAATAATAGATGGCATAGACGTAATTGAGCGAAGTGATTTATTGACAACAGAGTTGCCAGACCAGTTGAAGAATGTTCATATTTGAAGGGATTGAGCTTGAAGTGAAACAATGTCATGGCGAACAACAGGGCTGCCAGGTGAATTAAAAAATTTGTTTATTTAAATGAGATGTGATAAATAAGTTAATTAAAAGTTAAAGTCCCATAAAAAAACAGATAATATTTAAAAAATATCTTTAAATGGAAAATTCGTTTCCAAGCGTGTGATATTTTTTACATATGTATATCACAAATGGACAGATAGTAAGAAATCTTTTAGATAGGTAGTTCATACAAGAATAAAGATTTACATATGTACATATATCACAAATGGACAGATAGTAAATCTAGAAATCTTTTAGATAGTTCATACAAGAATAAACATTAATTGTAGATATCATACTAAGCTCTAATTAGAGAGCTTTTAATTTTTAAGCTAGATATATCATACATCTTTCTTCAATCAGCCTGACAACCCTACTCGGCTCAGTGAACATATTCAGGAAGCATAGCTAACCTGAGAGTGGCTGTGCACTGAAATCACTTGCAAAGTGTTGGCCGAAAATACCGCACGAACACCGTTCAATTGCATTTAAGAAGCCAAATGACCTCCGGCGCCCCCTCACACAGTGTGAAAGGCGAGAGGGGCGGGACGGCGAACAGGGGCGAAGCACTTATTCACAACTCAATGCCTGTTTAGCACAGACAAGAGTTCGGAACGCATGGACCCGTCTAACGAGCCTTTCCACAACTGCTGCCAACGACATGTACCGGCTATTCCTATCCCTGCCTCCCTATCTCTTCCTTCCTCTGCCTCTCACTCTTTTCGATACGCATACAAATATTATATTTAAGCCTAGCCGAGTCTCATTTCGTGCCAGGCATCGATTCCCGCATTTCGATACAATCGCAGCGAACGGCAACTGCGCACGCGCAGCGTCTGCACTTGAGCAGCTCTGAATGTGGATGTGGGTATGAAATTACTTGGTACTTGGCTTAAATTACAGCCTTTTGGTTCTCCATAGCTGCATCGCTGCGTAGTTATGACCATGTTTGTCTATTGTCTATTTCTTCCCCCACTTGTTCGGTATCTATTTTCCTATTTTCCTTGTAAGTGTTTTGGAAAATTCGTTAAATTGCACTTGAGATGCATTGATAAGTGCCATGTGATCTAATGTTGACGGCTAAAGCGAAATATAGTTATGTAATATGTATAGATGATTCTATTGGAGCTGAAGAATGCATTATGAAGTTTGACTATTTATTTACAAATAAATTAAAATTAACCATCGTTAACTATCGTATACAAAAATTATTAGTTTGATTTAATACAAAAATAAAGGAAGAAGACAGTGCTTTGAAAATATTTTTAGAGTAAACGTGTATTTATCTAATGGAACTTTAAATGTTCTAAAATTTATAAATAAAATTATTTTCCTTCCATTCACTAAAAAAAAACTAATACCAAGTATACAAATATTTTCCTTTCTTTAGTAACTTAAAAGGCAACCAAATAGTACTCTCTCGCGAGAACTGTATAAAAAAATATTGGTCCCCCCAAAATTCACCATAGAGAACACATCTACTCAGACTGTCTTTCTCTTTGCAATATTTACACGCAATAAAAAATTAACATTATGCGAGGCTGTAAATGGAAAGAAAAGTGCGTGGCATGGATGAAGATGAATAGGCAGTAGGCACAGTGGTACGAGCAGAAAGTAAAGCAGTCAAAAATGTACATGTTTATATTAACCCAGTTGAAGGTTGAGGTAAATAAGAGAATTGAAAAATCCTTCACCTTCGTTAATACAAATGACGCCCCGAGAGACCAGGCAGGCTCAGGGTAGAGACCCAGAGAGACTAAACAAAAGTCTGCACACGCACATAACAACAATGGATAAGAAAACGTACCGGATATGTTCCAGCGGAAGCTGAGAAAGTAGCTGGGCAAAAAGGTGGAAGAAGAAGCTGGCGAAGAAAAAAATCATTTACATGTGCTAGAGGGGGGTGGGACGGGTCCAGTGCGTGGAGGGATGATTATTAAATGGGTGGCATGTTTAACTATAAAACGCACGCCACCAGGATGAGAAGAGCGCCCGGGACAAGGGTGGGTGCCAATGAAGGACAGCACAGGATTTGCATGAAACCCCACGTTGATTCTGTGGCAGGGGCTGCCAGACAGGGGGCCAAACTTGTAGGACTGAATGGACCCCGAGTTGGGCTGGGCACGTGGTTGCTTTGGACAGGCTATTGGTGTGACAAGAAGCTGCTGTATGAGGAGGAGGAGAGGGGCGAGGCACTTCCTACGTAAGTGCGGCACTTGAAACCGCCTTAAAGCGTGCACTGTGTACGGCCAGAAGAAGGGCAGCCAAGCAGTCGGCCAGCCGGCAGCAGCAGGCACTGAATTATGCAAAAGATTTACGCGCTCGAAAACTTTTTTCCTTTTTTTTTCTTTTTTTTGGTTTGCTTCTCTGGGGGCGTTTGCCTTCATCTTGGCCGTCACATTGTATAAACTTTCGAGCCGGACGCCAAACACATCTGACAGTCATACACTGGAGTTATACGCAGAAAGTGTGAGAGAGTGAGAGAGAGAGAGATTGATATTTTTCGCCCACTGTGCGACAGTTGGCGCCGACTGAGGCTGAACTGAGTTGTCAGAAACAAAACAAGCAAAATTTGTAGCAGAAGCCAACAAAGCTCACAGGATTACACAGAAAAGTGCTCAGCAGGCCCATTGGCCAAGTGGAAGCATATTTGCGAGAATTTATTCAAATACAAAAAAGAGAAGCAGTTAATCATTTTTGCAGAGAGACATGACGCGACTCAGACTTGAGTTGAGACCAAATATATAATAGACCGAATAAGGCGAAACCCTTCTCAGCGCAAAAGAAATTATATTTTCAATCAAAATGATAAAATGTCAGCTATGAGGATAAATCGTGAATTAAATGGCGCGTCTTGTCATAATCGGTTCAATGTTGACTGAGATGCAAAAAAAATAGCCGACAAGTATTTAAATCTTAAATTTGGTTTATTAATCAACAAAAATTAGCAATAAAATAATAATAATAGTGAAAGACTATAAGAAAATGTTTGCTAAAATTATAGTCAACCGATTCACTTTGAACATCCTGTTTATAGAAATAGCAGCTAGACTATTTCCCAAAAGCAGCACAAGTTCTAGATGATCAATCCCGACTGAGGCACTCATGGCTGTTTAGGCCATGTTCCAGCTTACTTCACGAAGTGCTGTAATTTACTAAAACAAATTGCTGTCTGCTTTTCTCAGTGGAGCTCTTTAGCTAAACGTTTTCCCATATCAATAATCGCAACGTTTGCGGAATCATCTGAAGACGAAGCCCCCTAATCACTCAATCGAAAGGCAATATGGCGCCTAGCGGTCAAATGGCAATAAAAATCAATATTGAACTCGAACCCTGGGCGAAGCGGGGAGACGGCGATCCGAATGATGATCGTGAACTCAAATACGTAGCAAATAAATCGCATGCGATAGAAATGAGCATTGAATTCTATTAAAAAGGCTGCTGCTAAAGGCGGCCCGAGCCGAGTGA